AGTAATAAACATTGATCATGGTTAATTAATAAATTTTTACTAAGTATATCTTCATTATACTACAGAAAAAATATTAATACACTAAAATAAAGATTTTTTTTCTTCTTATGCAGTGGGCGCTAGAAAATAGAAATGAAATTCTTCTTTTCATACATTTTCTTAAATAATCTTTCAGTATAATTAAATAAAGACATCAACAATTTAACTTACACGGAAATAAATAAATGTTGTTCAGGAAAAAAATGCTATAATATCGAAGACGTTGAAGTTTTAATTAATCAAGAAGACTGCATTTACGACCACAATCGAAATACCTTCAACTCTGCACAAAATATCCGATAAAAATCTGACACCGATGTATCGCAAAAGTCTGACAGAAGATAGTTTTTACGAAAGTGGATCATAAAAAAAAAAATTTTAATTAATCAAAAAAAGGTAAGATTTAATGTACATGAAAATTTAAATAAATATATATTACTGACTACAATCTTTTTTTATATTTAATTTGTTTATTAAGCATATTTAATATTAAATACTGTGTTTATAACCATGTTACTATGTAAAACAACTTATTGAAATTCAAACGCCAGCCGGCCAGCCGTAGCCCATGTATAGACACATGCGCACTGCAACCAGTCGCCAGTCGGCCCAGTCGCCCCGGTCGGCCACCAAGTCGCAAAAGAGGGGTACAAATGGAAGCGCTGAGCCGCCCCAGCTACAATGCGACCTTCTTCATTTTTTTTAAGCTTTCCTTTTAATGAAATTGAAAAAGTTCTCTGGCAGTTATTTTGGAGAATATTTGCAATTGTTTAAGTTGTAAAATACAATTTTTGTTTGCAAAACGTCAAAATCAACAAAAATCAATTCTTTTTTTTTGTTATCATTACTAACGTTAAATACAATGTTTTTATTGAAGCGAAATGTCATTAAACCGACCGCGAAGTTTTATAATGTCACTTCAAATTTTCACTTAAAAAAATTAATTTACAAACAACTAACAATTATTTTGCAATTTCACAAATAGCTTATTATTATGCAACTTAACACCTATAATTTCTCTTGGTTATGTTTAAATTAACATGATTTTTTTTTTACGTCGATCTAAAGTTTTTTAGTATAAAAAATTTTTTTTCGCATTTTTTTGCCATTAACATGTTACTTACAATCAATAATGGATTTGCAAAAGTGTCTGCTTTATAGGAAATTTGATGACGAAGAGATTGGTGCTAAAAAAATTTCTCTAAGAGCAATAAAAGCGGAGACACAAACAAAAAACTAAATAAAAAATTGGCTTTTTTCATAAATTGTTAATTAAACTATGAAGCCAACGTTTGATTAGGACAAAGCTATTTTTCCTATATTCCTGGAAAAATTCTAAAGGGAAATGATTAATTTTTTTTCTACTAGAAAACATAAGATTAAATCGTATTTTTTTTGTCCGTGGGCAGTGGACTAATATACTTTAAGACTTTTGGAGATCTGCAACCACCTATTGAGTTAATGCTGTATTTGAAAATTGATAAGGTAAAATATAATTATAAGTGGTATAAAAAAAAATTTAACTCTTACAGCTGCGGACATTTATGCTTAAAGTTTCTGTCAAAATAAATATGACTTGATTGCTCAGTAAGTAACAACTTAGTTACACTATGACAGTCGTAGAAGAAACATTAACACTCCGTCTTTCTGGTAAGTCTTCTATCCTAGAAGCACAGTATTTTCCACCAATCGAATTATCGCCAAAACCTAACGTTCTTGGCTTAGCAAAACTTTTGTCAGTCAACTTAATTCCAAATATCGATGAAAATTGTAATAAATTTTATGTCGGCAATGAAGTTATTGTACTACTAACTGGCAGTTATCGAAGACGTTAGGTCATTTTTGATTGCATAAGGTATTAGAATCTCGCAATATAACTTTCGATATTAGGCCAAAGAATAATACGCTTGGAAGTGTTATCAAGTGCAGTCATAGCATTGATTTTACATCGAAAAATTCTATAGGTCGTCTTTTAGGTTTTACTAAGCGAGTTTTAAAAGATAACATCCCTCACGTTTCAGACTAACCTGTAGCTATTTTGAAGGTAAACGCACTCCGAGTATAGTGTATTATTGCTCGTGGAGCTTACATAAATAACGACAAAGTGCATACGATTCATGAATTTTTCCCAGTTGTACCACCTGGATATAAAATTATTGAAGTTCCTTTACAAATAATTCATTTACCTATTGTTGAACGTATCATTGATCGTATACAACTACGTACAGTGGATCAAGACGATGATTTGGTCAATTTTTGAGGAGGCGTTATTACCAGAAGGTTGTATATATAACTTTCAGTATAATGGGGATTATTTACAATCAAAAAAATCATGTAAGTGGCTTAACATGTACACCAGGGCTCAGTCAACAACGAGAAGTCAAACCGTCCAGACGTTATAAAAAAAGAACTCATACATCCAAAACTAATTCATCTTAATATAAAGTTTGTAAAAAGTCTAGGTCTAAAAATAAAAAGCCCTGGTAGAAAATAAATCGGATATTTTTTTGTTGTATAAAAAAAAGATGAGATTCTAAATATTCAGCACCCAGTAATGAACGACGAATCTATCGCGCATTATGAGGTTCATGCTCAACAGCCATATGCATAATCAACATATATTATAATATGGTAATAACCATAAAATTCGCATACCAATTTAATATCAAGACTTATGTCTTTTACCATTACGCAGTTTGTCACACGTTTATGGAAGATTAGTCAAATCAGATGGAAATATAGCAGTGACGAATACGGAATGGGCAAAGAAAATTCCTTTTCGAATAAATAAGGTACGAGATAAATACTATAGAAGTAGACAATGTAAAAATGTTGGCTTAACAACCCTCATAAAAAATTGGTCATCACTTAAGTCCTAATAAAAAATCATCTACTGTAAATGCCAGTTAAAAGATTATCGTAGGATAGTTATTAATGTGAAACATAAGCTTATACTAATAAGATCAAGAAACGGTTTAAACGCAGTTCTACAAACTATAGTTAATGCTGACAATAATAATGCAATAGCAATTTGGGAAGATTTTAAAGTCGTTAAAGTCGTAATATGAAAGCTTAAATGGGTTATGCCTCATGTGGTAATGTCAGATACACATGAAATTCGTCTATTCGTCAGAGAAGAAAAAGATAATAAACAACGACAAGAAAAGTGCAAAGAATTTGAGAAAAGACACGCTGAGAAATGGAAGGAAAAAGAATCTAAGAAAAAATCAAAAGATAATAAGTCTTGTAAAATCCTATAAAAATAATTTTCTTTAAAAAGTTTTTACTTATCAAAATGTTGCATGAACCGACCATTAGTAAGTTTACTACCGATGTTAAAAATTAAAATCTTTTAACTAAAGATGATAATGATAGAAAGAGAAATGTTGGTTGAAAAATTATACGGAAAAGTATTTAACGAATAAAGGAACCGCAGTTCAAATGAAGACAGATCAAGATAATTGTACAAAGAAAGTGAAAAAAAAGAAGTATGCGGTAGATATACAAGGCTTCAAAAAGCCTGGCAATGATTATGTGCTAAAAGAATTAGCTATTTTTTCTCTAAATACTAACAACACAAAAGCACAAGTATTTCTTCTTAAACCACCTTTTGCCTGGCGTAAATTACTACATAAGTGTAAACATGAAAATTTACATCTCGAACTTTATTATCATGGATTAAAGAGGCTCAGTCGTTTTTTAAGAGATTTATTCACTCACTGAAAAAAACAAATGTTGTACTTTTACATACTGGAAGTAAGTACAAATGAATTTTTTAAATATTTTTTGTCAGGCGAATTTTCAGGAAAAAAATTTCCGAAATTGCATAATTTAACATTTCTTTTCTGGGCGAGAGCGATTATTCAGCCTTTGCTACACAAATTTTGAGGCTAGAGATTTATTCATGATGAGAAAAAAGTTCAAATAGATAGCTTAACTTCTAAGGAAGGCACTCGTATCAAAAAATATGCACCTTATCACGCGTTTGGAAGAAATGTCTGTGCAAACGTAAACAAAGTCGCGAGCAGGTCTTGTGCTAAGCGTACGGGAGAGAACCAAGTATCTTCTGCTGTTAGCTTATCTTTTCACACGGAGCGAGACGTCATTATAAATTGCTTCTAGAATTTGTTAGACTGGAAATCATGATCGGAAACTTGGCCCAGCCTTTTTTAAGACTTCAAACTATAGTGCTGTACAAAAAAAGTTTGTTTTCGAAAATTTATAACATACTTTTGTTGACGAAAGTTGAGTCTCCTCTTACTTTTTTTAGGTTATTTTTTATCATTCAAACAACATGTTTTCAAGTTTTTTTACTCAAACTATAGGAAACAAGCTGCTTTAAGGTATGTACCGTAATTTGTTTATAACATTTAATGGTTTAACCTTTGAGCACTGAGGAGTTGAACATAATTAAATTAACCATGATGCAGTGGGTGGACGTTTTTATGCAGGGTTAGTACAACTCACTTCAACACGGTGTCTTATAGGAGCCTTCGCACACGCGCTCACCCTCCAGGGAAAATGACCGAACCTCCTTATTATCTTTTATTGTAAGATATATCAATAAATTTTATAGTAAGAAGAAAAAATCATTATTTTCACACATCAGTCATCTAAAAAGATCTTAGAAAGGCGCAAGTTTCAGAAGTCTTAAAAGAGACCATTTGTTAACACATTTATTCAGACCTTGAGCTTCACATTTAAACTCGTTTGCTTATTCATACAAAGAATTTTTTAGATTTTTTAATACTTTGCTATTAAGTTGAGAATAGAACACACACGTGACCTTTCTGTGGTCCGTTTTGATTCAAGTAATCAGCTATATTTTTGTATAATTTTTCGTATTCGTAATGAGATGATATTAAAACGCTTTTGGTTTCAATTTTTCAGTTCAACTCATAAGTTAGTCGAAAATACAAGACGTACTTATATACATATGTATAACATTTATCTTAAAAACAATGATACGCATTTAACAATAGTGTAGGTGTATAATGCATACGTGCAATTACAATCGATTTTTTATGTTTCAACGTAACAGATGCACCATTAATTATGCAAATTGGACGGTACTGGATTCAGTTGATTAGACATGTAACAGCAGGAGCAAGATGGTAACATTCCCAATGATCTATGAAAAAGTTTCATCATTTAAAAGAACACAAATGAAGCACTGCAACACAGAAGTGGATTATGGAATCAAGAAATACTCACCTCAGTCGAATTTGTGGTGGTTGACTATGGCCACAGGCCGAGAAATTTTGGCCAGTACCAATTCAATTGACAAATTTCTAGAGTTGCTAATTTCCATTGTCTAAGCTCGCCATGTTATCAGGTTTGCCAAGTTGTTCTTCTAGCAGCAGACTGAAAATCAATTCTAATCATTAGGATGCAAGAAACCAGGAATCAAAGAGAAAAAAATAAAACAACTTTTTCAAGAAAATAACTTACTCTTTCTGGTCGGAGGTCACATTAAAGTTGCTCGCTTCGGAAGCATCGCTCTGCTGCATCCTCGTTGAATCTGAGATACATGTGGTTTTACTAGAATGGTTTTTCCAGATGAGATGCTTCATTGCTTTAAAAAGATCCAAAAAGTGCTGGGCATTCTCGGGGCTACTGTTGCTCTGAAATAGTACGTACTTACATAAGGACACGAACAGTGGTTTAACGTAGAATATCATTACGAGGTATGTGGTGTGCGACATATTTTATACATAGACGAATTGATGAAACGTTATTACGTTAGTGTAAGATCCGGAAAATCTCCAGAGACCGCTTAAATTGTAATGTTGCAGGGAGTGAAGCTGCGTGTTGCTGGTGTCCTCGCAAGCGATGCCATTCAGAATGATTGTCTGCACAGCGTTAAGCGTCCTTTGGTCATGACTTAACGACACAATGTTGGAAATTTTTTGGTCCAAAAAATTGTAACTGCAATCAGTGCTCAATCGGCACAGTTTATACCTTTGTTAACTGTAATATTTTACAGAGAAGTTTAAAAAACTCACATGACCGGAAAAACGTTTTCAAAAACAAACGAAGACTCAGCAAGGTACTCGTACAAGATTCTCGCCTGGTCTTCACTGGTGGAATGCTTGACAAGAGTCGCCAAGACTGCGAGGATGAGAGTCTGCGTCAGCGAGTCCTTGAGCACTTCCGGATTGAGCAGCACGTTGTTCTCACTGCCAATACGGTTCTGCAAATAAAATAAATATCGTTTACACTTTGTACTCTGGCGTTCGACTGTGAAGACAACTGCTGTAACAATTGTACAGTTTGTAAAGTATTTAAGCTAAAAGAAAATGAGTGTGGGATCGAGATTTATTACAGCACATTTGTATTAAAAAGTAATTGTGATTCGGTTATTGATTAACTTGGCTAATCATTATATTATACATTACAGATAATTTAATTATTTAAACAATAAGTTACAAATTAAAGCACAAAAACTACAAAAATCAATTACCGTCTTATCCTTCATTTCCTTTAATGATAAGACCGAAAAAGATCGCTGCATTTTGAATAAAATGAGGAGAGTATTGTTAGTTAAGTTAGAGTAGTTTTTTTATTTTATTTTGTTTATTTTTGTAGCATTGTAGAGATGTTATTCACTAAAAAAAAATTCATACCTAAATTGGATCGAACTAGAAGCCCTAGAATTCATTCTCAACTAAATTGGTGCAAAATCAGTTTCTTATAAATCAGTCCAAAAAGATCTTTTCAAGTGAAAACTTCTTTAGGCATGTTGGGCGATTTTGAATGGGAAGAAACTCTTGGTTTCACGTCAGATCGCTTTCATTTAAAAGCAACGCGATCCCTGCAGAGTAGCGTGTGAGCGTGAGAGAATTAAATGTTGGCGGGGAGGGCAGAATAAGGGGGGCGCCCACTCTGTATTGGCTGGAGGTAGAAAAGGAGAAAGTAGCCTGGTGGCGCGGCGGAGTATGGTCGTATGCATACCCATACTACCATACCTTACCGCACTCCGCCGCACCGACAAAAGCTAAATACTTCCTCCTTGTCTAATGGCAGCCGCTACGCAGCAGTGCACCCGAAAGTGGCATCCAAAGTAGCGCAAAATTTAAATTGGCTATATGAAGCAAAACGCAACAACCCACATAACTCAACAGAATTCCTAAAATAATAAATAAATAAACCCATAGCTATTAAACCCAATAACCCAACACTACTTAACCCAGCAACGCAAAACGCCTACTGGCCAGTTTAAAATTTAATGCTTTAAATAACACAAGCGCCAATCACCACACAACCCGGGGCGCTGACAGGCCACTTTCTTTTTTAATATAATAAATAAAATAACACAAGCGCCCATCACCATGTAATTTGTTTATAANTTAATAAATAAAATACCACAAGCGCATATTACCACACATTTAAAATCGCTTACTGGTCCCTTTACTATTAGAAATAAATAAATTACTTCGAGCGCTAATCCCTACACAACCGTGAGCGATTACTGTACCCCTTTATTTATTTAAAATAAAGATAATGACAACGTAAGCACCAATCACCACACAACCTGTAGCACTTTCTGGTCCATTAATATATTTATAATAAATATAATAACAACACAAGCTCCAATCGCTAGGTAGGCAGTTAGCGCTCCGAGGAGTGTCGTGATAGGCGCTTGTGGTATCTAATTTATTTAATTAATAAACTAAGCAGGTGTAGAGCACTTTAAGTTGTAAAGGGATTGGCGCTTGTGTTATTTTATTCATTTAATTAATAAACAAAGCGGCCAGTAAGTGCGCCGGGTTAGATGGTAATCAGCGCTTGTGTTATTTTATTTATTATATTCAAAAACGAAGCGGCCAGTAAGAGCCCCAGGTTAAATGGTGATTGGAGCTTGTGTTATTTTATTTATTTAATTAATAAACGAAGCGGCCAGTAAGCCCCCCGGGTTAAATGGTGATTGGCGCTTGTGTTTTTTTATTCATTATGATTAATAAACAAAGTGGCCAGTAAGCACACTAGGTTGTGTGGTGATTAATGCTTTTGTTATTATTTAAAGCATTAAATTTTAAAGTTGCCAGTAGGCGTTCTGCGTTGCTGGGTTAAATAGCATTGGGTTATTGGTTTTAATAGCTTGGGATTTATTTATTTGTTATGTAAGAAATTTTATTGAGTTATGTGAGTTTTTGCGTTTTGCTTCATATAGCCAATTTGAATTTCGCGCTACTTTGGATGCCACTTTCGGATGCACTGCTGCGCAGTGCGCATAGTGCACATTCGAATTTCGAATCAGACCGCATATGAGTGGGTTAATGGTGTACGTATAGTACGTAACTACCGAGTCAGGTACCGAGGTAATCTTTAAGGATGTTCATCACACTTAGCGTTTTGGGTAAAATTTTCCTGAAATTTTATCAGGATGCTCGTAATGATGTTAGAAAGTCACATGTAAAATTTGAGACCATTTCACAACAACGTTTTTTACATATTGAATGTTGAAAAAACTTTAATTTAAGACGTAACCTAATGAAGGAGTCACATAAAAATGGAAGTTATTAGAAAACGGTATGTAGAATTTTTCCAATTTTTCTTTTTGCATGTCGCAATACCATAAAACTGGTATTAAAATCAATTTTCAAAGAGATTTAAGGGTGCAAGCCCAATATTTCGCTTAGGAAACAGAAGGTGCCAAACGCGGAGCAGGAAGTGGTAACTGCCCAGCTATTAGAAAGTCACTAGAAGAGGCCAAGAGTAAGGTGACTATAAGGATAGAGTTTAAAGACAACATTAGGATCACCATTGCAGACCCAAGCAGCACTACTTACTCAAGCTATCAGCAAGGGTAAGCAACGAGAATCGATGTTTCTCCAAAATAGTAGATGACCAGACAAAATAAAGAGGAGGTAACATCACGTCGGTGACGACACTCCAATGGAAGGTCAGGTCAATGGTCAAAAATCCACGGACCCGGTTGCGTTTAAGTTTAAATGTTTATTAATAAGTTTACTTCTTTAAGCCCTTGTTATTTCTTTGAAGGCATAGTTCAGAATTTTTTCCTGAACATGCCGATGGAACTTATCTCCTCTCTTGTTGCAGAAGGGATGTAAGATACTCCTTCCAGTATCTACTGTAGTGTTCTTCTTTAATATTATTTACATATTCTCTTGTCATAGTTGCTGATATCAAATATTTAAGAGCAGCTGTCAGGCCATCCTTGACAACGCTGGCCGTGTTACCATACTTTTCGTTCATTGCTTCAAGCGTATGTTTAATCTCTCTTGTTGCAGCTTAAACTTGCTCAATCTCTTAGTTTCGCTCTGCTCTTAGCCTTACGCTATCACTTTCCATAAAGATAAGCTCTTCTTGCATCTGATTGCTGAAAACGGTCACGTTACTTTCCTCGCTGGCGTGGCTGCTAATACTTGGTTGATCATGAGTAGCATCCTTGTGCTCCCCCCCCCCCTCACAGAATCCGTGGGGTCTGCGACAGTCACCCAGGCTATCACTGGATCGGAACTGATACTACAGTCAATAAGCCGGAATTTAGTGTCGATAGTGGAAAAGTTGCGGAACAGCACCGATTTTGATAAAACTTTTTGTAATGTGTTCGTAGGACCCTAAGGAACATTCAGCCAACTCAACCTCGTCATGGGGGGGGGGGGCAAAGGGACCCAGCGGGGGGCATATGTACCCCAAAAAACTGCCCCAACCGCGGAGGTGACTAAACAATTTTTTGAAAACGCTTATTTTGGCCCAAAATTCTCATGTAGTGGGTATTTTCGATCGCTGATTACGAATCTGATGTCAAATTACACGAATTATGCTACCTACCCCCCAAATCGGACCATTTGGGGCCGAAATTTCAATTTTTTCAACACAAAAATGGCAAACGGAGTATTTATCATCGAAACTGTGCTCTAGGGGGTATTTTTGATCGCCGATAACGAATCTGATGTCAGATTACGCGAATTATGCTACGTACGCCCCAAATCGGGCCATTTTTGGCCAAAATTTCAATTTTTTCTACACAATAATGGCAGAGGGAGTATTGGCAAAGGGATTATTATATTTTCTGCGTAAATTTGTAATATTTTCGGGAATATAATTAATATAAATGATTATTGACATTTCGGCCAAAAATGGCACGATTCACTGCGTACGTACCATAATTCGTGTAATCCGACATCAGATTCGTTATCGGCGATCAAAAATACCCCCTGGAGCACAGTTTCGATGATAAATACTCCGTTTGCCATTTTCGTGTAAAAACAATTGAAATTTCGGCCAAAAATCGCACGATTCACTGCGTATGTAGCATAATTCATATAATCTGACATCAGATTCGTTATCAGCGATCAAAAATACCCTTCAGAGCACAGTTTTGATGACTAATACTCCGTTTGCCATTTTTGTGTTGAAAAAATTGAAATTTCGGCCGCAAATGGTCCGATTTGGAGGGTAGGTAGCATAATTCGTGTGATCTGACATCAGATTCGTTATCAACGATCGAAAATACCCACTAGATAAGAATTTTGGGCCAAAATAAGCATTTTCAAAAAATTGTTTAGTCACCTCCGCGGTTGGGGCAGTTTTTTGGGGTACATATGCCCCCCGCTGGGTCCCTTTGCCCCCTCATGACGAGGTTGAGTTGGCTGAATGTTCCTCAGGGTCCTACAAATACATTACAAAAAGTTTTATCAAAATCGGTACTGTTCCGCAACTTTTCGACGTATTCCGGCTTATTGACTGTACTATGACAGTGGTAGTAGGTTTTTGTTTTTTTTCGTGGAGGAAGGAAAAATGCATTGAGGTACACCGTAGGGGCAGCAATAGTGTGGGACTCGGTGGATTTTTTTTAACAGACCACCCATACCCACTAACCCCGCCCCATAACGCGTGGCTTTTGTTCCACCCCGGAACCACGTTAGTATTGCTTTAAGGTGGAGCCATCAGGGAGACCATCACGTCTCACAGCATTAACGAGCTAACTCGCCACCATTTGCTAGAGGCACCAATCCTCTCGAGTCCTGAAGAGGACTCGGGGTCCCTGAGGACCAGCACCCTGTCCTAGCGCTTCTTAGTAGGCCGCTCCAGAGATTAGGAGGGAGATTGCTGACTGCCATGCTACGGAGTGTGCCCACTTTTTTCCACTGTTTTGAGTGCCCCGTCACGGCCAAGCGGCCGAACCAGGCGCACATTTTTTTTTTAATTT